ATAAGGGCAAGGTGGGGTTATTGAAAAAAGGAATAGTAGAAATTTCACCCATCTTATTAACCCATATAGTGTGTATATGTAGTGCAAATTTCCTTTAAGCAAAAGACATATTTATTGCAAAAAAAAATATAGTGTGTATTTAAAAGTAAATTACAAATATTAATTTTAGAAAGACGTTTGAGCAAAACCAATCACAAATACGAATATTTTAAAAATATTTGTTCTATGTCCAACCCTAATTTTCGAAATTTGTCTCTTAGACGCAAGACCGACCTTGAGTTCTAATTGGCCGCAAACTAAAAAAAAACGGTTTAAGAGAAATTTTGGGTTTTAATCACTAAAGTAAAGAGATTTTTTTTCAAAATGAAGACCAATTTTGTTACAATAAATATAAGTGCCGCAAACATGTGTTTGGCTCGCTTGCCCTAAGGCCGGTCCTCTTTAGACGTCAACGTAGCCTACCAAAACTTCAACAATTTTCACACATAATGGAACTTATTTTTTCGTATAAAACTCATATACACTTTTGAATTTGCATCCGTGTTATGATATAATAATGACATGAGTACAATTGAATAAACTACAAACTTCGGTCGTTTTTTTTTTGTCATCTGAAAATTTTATATCATCACCAAACTGGAATACATAGTGGAATACAGAGCCATGATTTATACAAAAATCCTGGAAACTAAACTAGCGGAAGAAAAATATATCCCCAGAAACTTAGTCCAAAAGAAGAAAACACCGGAATTAAAACCAAATACAAACACATAGACTTATTAAATGAAGCTCAAAACTCCTTATCAGAGCACAAGGAACATCACCAATAACTTGAAATTCAGATTGTACGCCACAAGTAAGACACCTTATCTTCACAAAAGCCTGCACCAAACACGAGTCGAAAAATGCAACAAACGAATCCTCCTATAGCGAATGGAGACTACCACAACAACACTCAATTTAATTAAAAAAATACAAGCATGAGTTAGTTGTGAGTGGAGCATGCACTTAAATTTCTTTTAACATTTTTAAAATTTTCTGACGGCACACGTAGCTTGTCACAATCGTAGGTCTAAGATGAGAGGATTAAGAAAAATCTGAACGTTATTAAGCAACGGTAACTTTTTATTTTTATTACCGTTGTGAGATTAATAGTTTAATAACATAAAATTTCCTTCTCCTTTATATAAGAACACCTCCATCAATGTTTCTAAAAAGAGTTCTCAAAATTATACTAAAATATTAGATAACATTAAAATAGAAAATGTGTATCTAAAAATGGTAAGAATTTCATCCAAAAGTTCTCGAGGGTGGAGTTCTCACCATTTTTAGATACATATTTTTTATTTTAATGTTATTTTTTATTTAATTATAGTTTGAGAACCTCTTTCTAAAAATATTGATGGAAGTGGTCTAATACCTCAAAATCTGCGAATGTCACTTTCTCTATAGAATCGTTTTTAAGCAGAGGTGACCAAATAAGAGACCTTTGATCTCTCTCTCTTCTTTTTCCTCCGTCGGGGTTTCACGGCGGTGACAACGATGGCAACGGCAACAGTGCTTTGGGTGAGTGTCTAAAGTCTTTATATTTAACTTCGACAATTTTCAAAAATTATCTTCTTCCGATGATGTTTATTCGTGATTTTCAATTAGTTTAATTAGATTTTCAATTAGTTTAATTAGAGTTTATGATGTTAAATTAATACGTTTCTTTTCGTTAAATTCACGGTCTACCTCATTAATCATGATAAACTGTTTGTTTTCTTATGGGAAATTTACGTTCTGTTTCTTTCTTTTTTTCCATCATGAAATTTGTTTTATTTGATACTTGTATCAAAGATTATGGTAAACTTAGATAGAGATTAAGCTAATTAGGAGTTATCTTATTAGTTTTTATCGGCAGGTTAAGCGTAAGACAAAACCGGGAGATACAAAAGGAAGTATAAAGACGAATCTCGTAATTCTAAAACGTATCTAGAGGCCATGGTGAGAATAATTTTCTCAATTTTTTTTCTTCTGAATCTATTACATAAATAAAAAGTACATCTTGAACCATTATAATTTACAAAATTTTGAGATTCAGTCTCTTTCGTTTTTACTTTGCTATATTTTTTCCAATATATACTTTAGATTTTTGGATTTTAAACTTTATTGATAAATTTACATAGTTGTGAAAAAAAATTCGGATATGACATCCTGTCTTTGATCTCATTAATCGTTAGCGGTGCCATTTCGTTTTTTCTTAACAAAATGTGATGTAAATTTATCACTCGAGTTTATCGTTTTTATTGGTAATAAAACTTTTTTTCTTTTCCATTTCTTTAATGTTTAAATATTTATGTTTTCCACCGGATTTTATTCACCACACTATATATTTTACGTTTTTGGATTTTTAAACTTAAGTGATAAATTTACATAAAGGTGAAAACAATTCGTACATGACATCCTGTCTTTGACCTCATTGATCGTTAGCGGTGCATTTCGTTTTGCCTTAACAATGTAATATAAATTTATCACTCGAGTTTATCGTTTTTATTGGTAGTAAAACTTTTTTCCTTTTCAATTTCTTTAATGTTTATGCTTTTCAACGGATTTTATTCACCACAATATATTTTAGATTTTCGGATTTTTAAACTTAAGTGGTAAATTTACATAATTGTGAAAATAATTCGGACATAACATCCTGACCAGTGTCATTTGTTTGTTTATCTTAACAATGTAATGTTAGTTTACTATTCGAATTTTTATTTTTTTAGTAATAAAATATTGTTCC